TATGTGCATGTATATTGTATGTGCAATCTATGTACATTGTTTTACAACAATGATAAGATTGTATTTATTCGAGAAACAGAAACACGGAAACGTTTCTGTAATTTAAATAAATAAATTAATAATTCATAATTAAAAAAACAATTACAAATCAGTTATTTTGATTTGCTCGATAGTTCTAGTTTTAGTTCTCGATTAGTTCTAGGTGTTGCTTATATTTAATAAATTGTTGAAACCGTAAGTATGTGCAACTAAGCTCAGTGTCATATATATAAGATAAAGAAATTATACGAACTGAAAATATTATAGGTCAATATCAATGTCATGATATTGGAATTAAAACAGCTTGGAGTGCAAAGATTTAATGTTGAAGGTCTTTTTGCACTTTTCTGCTATGAAGATGGTAAATAAAATATGAAAATCAGTTGTTCTTACGTCGCGCATTAATAATGAAGGGGTCTAATTCGGACAGTTCGATTGAAAAGAAGCAATTATAGTTACCCTTTACAATCGAGTGGCGACTCCGAGACGACGCTGAAACTTGCTACGCTATTTTCGAACGAATTTTCACGTTGTTAAATTTATCCGTATTCGATAAATTGTCGAATAATAAAAATCTCCTGAAATAATAAAAATTTCATATGTATCGAGTAAAAAAACAATCGCAACAAATAGATATGATGCAGGTTGAAACAAATGTCTTCATTTTCGAGTTAAGATAACCTCGAGTGCAAAGGGTGAAGAACGCTCCATTTTTTTGCAATTTCTCTTACAATTATATTATCGTCACAGATGTGAGCCGTTTATTTTGATAGTGGCATAAGTCACTTTGTTTTGAAGTCGATATATCTAAGGGCTGTCTCTTATACACATCTAGATGTGTATAAGAGACAGCCCTTAGATATATCGACTTCAAAACAAAGTGACTTATGCCACTTTCAAAATAAATAGTTTAGAAAAATGACTGACATATATTAATTTAGATGTGTATAAGAGACAGATTCACTTGTATTTGTTATCTCAGGATACCGATATTTTTCTCAGTATAAATAATTTCGTATAAACATTAAGAAATCACCACTTTTCATTACGGTAAAGTGACTTAAGCCACTTTCAAAATAAATAGTTTAGAAAAATGACTGACATATATTAATTTAGATGTGTATAAGAGACAGATTCACTTGTATTTGTTATCTCAGGATACCGATATTTTTCTCAGTATAAATAATTTCGTATAAACATTAAGAAATCACCACTTTTCATTACGGTAAAGTGACTTAAGCCACTTTCAAAATAAATAGTTTAGAAAAATGACTGACATATATTAATTTAGATGTGTATAAGAGACAGATTCACTTGTATTTGTTATCTCAGGATACCGATATTTTTCTCAGTATAAATAATTTCGTATAAACATTAAGAAATCACCACTTTTCATTACGGTAAAGTGACTTAAGCCACTTTCAAAATAAATAGTTTAGAAAAATGACTGACATATATTAATTTAGATGTGTATAAGAGACAGATTCACTTGTATTTGTTATCTCAGGATACCGATATTTTTCTCAGTATAAATAATTTCGTATAAACATTAAGAAATCACCACTTTTCATTACGGTAAAGTGACTTAAGCCACTTTCAAAATAAATAGTTTAGAAAAATGACTGACATATATTAATTTAGATGTGTATAAGAGACAGATTCACTTGTATTTGTTATCTCAGGATACCGATATTTTTCTCAGTATAAATAATTTCGTATAAACATTAAGAAATCACCACTTTTCATTACGGTAAAGTGACTTAAGCCACTTTCAAAATAAATAGTTTAGAAAAATGACTGACATATATTAATTTAGATGTGTATAAGAGACAGATTCACTTGTATTTGTTATCTCAGGATACCGATATTTTTCTCAGTATAAATAATTTCGTATAAACATTAAGAAATCACCACTTTTCATTACGGTAAAGTGACTTAAGCCACTTTCAAAATAAATAGTTTAGAAAAATGACTGACATATATTAATTTAGATGTGTATAAGAGACAGATTCACTTGTATTTGTTATCTCAGGATACCGATATTTTTCTCAGTATAAATAATTTCGTATAAACATTAAGAAATCACCACTTTTCATTACGGTAAAGTGACTTAAGCCACTTTCAAAATAAATAGTTTAGAAAAATGACTGACATATATTAATTTAGATGTGTATAAGAGACAGATTCACTTGTATTTGTTATCTCAGGATACCGATATTTTTCTCAGTATAAATAATTTCGTATAAACATTAAGAAATCACCACTTTTCATTACGGTAAAGTGACTTAAGCCACTTTCAAAATAAATAGTTTAGAAAAATGACTGACATATATTAATTTAGATGTGTATAAGAGACAGATTCACTTGTATTTGTTATCTCAGGATACCGATATTTTTCTCAGTATAAATAATTTCGTATAAACATTAAGAAATCACCACTTTTCATTACGGTAAAGTGACTTAAGCCACTTTCAAAATAAATAGTTTAGAAAAATGACTGACATATATTAATTTAGATGTGTATAAGAGACAGATTCACTTGTATTTGTTATCTCAGGATACCGATATTTTTCTCAGTATAAATAATTTCGTATAAACATTAAGAAATCACCACTTTTCATTACGGTAAAGTGACTTAAGCCACTTTCAAAATAAATAGTTTAGAAAAATGACTGACATATATTAATTTAGATGTGTATAAGAGACAGCCCTTAGATATATCGACTTCAAAACAAAGTGACTTATGCCACTTTCAAAATAAACGGCTCATGTATAAGAAATCGGTAACGGTCTACATCAGAAAGTGGAGCTTTAACCGGTCGGCTTAGCAACTCTCGAGGACAAATAGGAAGGGAAAGAAGAAGGAAAAAGGGGACGAGCGTGGTGATGACGAGGGGATTTCGAAAATCGAGAATATCGACTTATCGGGGCCGAAACCGTGAAATTTTCGCGACGCCATGCCACCGGGTCCCCGGCTCGGCCGGTCTAATAATTCCCGAGAAAAATTTGCCCTCGTGACGTCAGCCCGGCCGTTCTGCAGCAACTAATTGCGTCCGGTGAATCGACGCTTTTTGCAGGCTGCCTTGACGAAGGGTAACCGGGCTATTCTTCGGCCTGGAGCTGAGCAGAGCGTCGGCTCCGCAACGAGTCTACGAAATTACGCCATTTTTCTAGGGAATACCACCCCGGCGACGAAGTTGTGCCGGTTCAAAAGAAGCTAATGCGTGAAGAATGTCAACGTTAGTAGCGTTTTCTGCGCCCCGCTTTCTCCGGCGGCTAGCGGGGGAAAATGGGTCGAGCTTTTAACCGCGAAACAGCCATCCGAGGACGATAAACAGATGCTCCGCAAATGGGCTGCTTGTTCTGATGAGTTTGGTAAACAGAGCAGGCCGGGAGACTGGATGGAGCGGCCACGTATGCGTGGTATGGTGGAAATTTCACTGATGTGTCATCGGTACTATTTAATTGGCAAACGAAGCAAATCCCCTTTGTTAGTTCAGAAGACACGGTTCGGGAAATTACGTCAGCCCTTGGTTTGCGGATAATTTTACTTTAACGAGTTCCAGGCTAATCGCATCAATTGGAAATTAACTGTTTCATCTTTGATGAAACTGCAGCCTGGCTCGTGTGTTTCGAGTACCCGGTTACGAGTGTGATATCTTTGTAAGGGGACTCGGAAATGTACAATTATGAACGAAGTATGTTGATACTTTTTACCGAACGTTGGCTGTTCAATGTTAAACACGGATCGTATAAACCTTTCATTGTATGAACTTCCCTTCGTAAACCCGTCATTGCAAATATTAGGTCATGTAATGTGAAATGTTCGGTTATTCGAACAGATAGAACATTCATTTTTCTATGCATGGAAAATTGTAGTATGTGCATATGAAAATATGCACCATTTACTTACATGCGTCACTTTTGCCAGTTTAGTCTTTCCGAAAAGTTCGACATCTCATATCGTATAATATTGTTGCCAATTACTCCATTTCTCTCGCGTCGCGGCATTTTATTTACAGTAAAGAATATTAACTATAACACAACTCGATACAATTATATCATAGATCTTTCAATTTGAAATGTTGCCACTCTTCCGCGTGGCAACCTCTATCTTCTATTATTCTTTAAGGAGTTGTTCACAACAGGGCAGTTTCACATTACAGCGACTTGATTTGGACAAGTCGCCGTAACAATATGTGCTGTAAAATGCAAAATAAAAATGTTCTGTTTCAATTGCGACAAGCAGAAATCGACCAGGAAAACGCTCATTCTTTCTTTAATTTGTTTTCGATGAATATACTTGTCATAATAAATACTTATAAAAAAACAGCTAACTGGTTAAGAAGAATCTATACTTTGATATTCTTTATTAAATTATATTAAATTGTATAAGTTATTATTATAATAAATTATAATAAATTATATATATTAAATTATTATATTATTATAAATTAAATTATATATTCTGGAAAAGCGTTGCATTCAAACAAAATGCGAAGAAAATAGACAGACATATATAGTATAATTACAATAATTTACACACTTTTCAAAAAGCTGGCAACAGCAAACTGGTTAAGATGAATCTATACTTTGATATTCTTTATTAAATTATATTACATTATATAAATTATTATTATTATAATGAATTATAATAAATTATATATATTAAATGATTATATTATTATAAATTAAATTATATATTCTGGAAAAGTGTTGCATTCAAACAAAATGCGAAGAAAATAGACAGACATATATAGTATAATTACAATAATTTACACACATTTCAAAAAGATGGCAACAGCTAACTGTTTAAACAGACTGGAAGTAACACATTAACATTTTGAAATTATTTTAACAATTCCGCGCTGTTGCGGAAATTTGAACATTTATATTTTGAAAATTAATCTGAATCACGGTTAATGCTTAGTTACAGAAAAAAATGTAGTTCATGAAAGATCACAATTACAAAGAATGATCTGCTTTTGTGATTCATTTCAATTCCGAGATGGAACGATCAGTTATCGAATTGTGAAACAAACAGCCTGAATTTAGTCGTACGAAAGCGAACAGTGCACCATTTTGACAAACACGAAGGAACCTGAAAATCCACAAAATCTCCAAAATTATTTCACGCGACATGTTCTAGAGCCGGTTGATCGTAGATATTTGAACGGAAGTATGCGAAAGAAGAATCCCAAACGACGCGAGGTCAGACGGGCACGAGACAGATGCGACGCAAGTAATCAATCGTATAATTTCTATCGACTAACCTCCGTGTTTTACCGTTCGGTAATTAACAAATAAAGCGTAGGCGACTGTCACTCACGCGGAAACTTTGTTACGGCTGTTCGGATATAGTTCTGGAACAGTCGGTGAACTGTCGAAGTACAGTGTTTGTCCTAATTGTTTCCCCCGGCTGTAAATGCCTTTACGTGTGCGATACGTTGACGCCGACTGTACGTCGTGTTATTTTTAACTTACAGGCGTACGGTAATTAATATCTGATTAAGTGGACAACAAAGTTCACTTATGCAATCGCCAACACGAACCTCGTGCACGTAGATCTGTCGCAGAGAGTTTACTAATTAGCAACATTTCTTGACGCTGTCGACACGCTTTCGAATTCCGACACAGGCCATTCTGCATATTTTTTTATGTTCATATTTTGTTTATCTGCATATTTATTAAAATGCTTTCGTAGATATTAGCAATATATCTTTATACTTGAAGTAGAAGTTGAAGACTTGCTGGACAGAAAACTGATAAAATAACGCAAATATAGTTTACGTAGGTGAATTTGTTATATAAAAATCACAGTTTGCTCGACGCAAAGTTAACGAATAATATAATACGGCAAATACATATATTTGCAGACACGTACGTTCACGGATCGCAATCTAAAAAATCTCATGAATACGTTTCGTCGAATCATTTCAAGAAAATGACGCTTCTGTTGGTCTAAGAAATTTTTCTAAAAAAACGCGGTTCAGTTTTTCTTCTCATTTTCTTAATTTATTCCATTTCCTCGAGCTGTTTGACGAGTGTCCGTAGATGCATGCCTCTTAAAAACATGTTCCGGACATTTTTGAGGGCGGACGATCATCAAATTCCTGCTCTTAAAAATGAGTCGCAGTTCCACGGGATGAGAAATGTGCAACGAGGTTGTTCCAAGGGCAGACAAAGAATTGCGCGACGCTAAAAATCACGGTAGAAGGAAGTGGAAGGGCGTAGACGTCGTTGGAAGGGTGGCAGGACAAAGTGGTTCCGTACTTTACGAAATGAAATACACCCACGCCTTTAAGAAGGCGGCCGCACCTATGTGTACGCGACACTTTTCCACGTAGACCCGGGGCGATAAATTATCATCACACTTGGGATTAAAGATTGCCGAAAGACTTTTAACCTCGGGAAGATGTAGATTCTTCTCTCACGCTTGTCGTCATTATTTATTTCTCCTTTTAAATCATGTTTCTAGTTTGTTTCTGTTCCAATCTTTCGGCAAATATAATTAGGCTCGAGCTTCGTGTTTTGTAATTGTTACACAATTTTTATAGAATTTTGTTGACTCTTTTTACTGTGTAAATTATTATACATTTTTTTAAATTATTGTAGAATTTTTATTTAATCTTGCTGACTCTTTCTGCTGTGTAAATTATTATGCAATTTTTAAATTATTGTAGAATTTTTATTTAATCTTGCTGACTCTTTCTGCTGTGTAAATTATTATGCAATTTTTAAATAATTGTACAATTTTTATTCAATCTTGTTGACTCTTTCTACTGTGAAAATTGTTACACGATTTTTAAATAATTGTATAATTTTTATTCAATCTTGTTAACTCTTTGTACTACGAAAATTATTACATAATTTTTAAATAATTGTACAATCTTTATTCAATCTTGTTAACTCTTTCTACTGCGAAAATTATTACATAATTTTTAAATAATTGTACAATCTTTATTCAATCTTGTTAACTCTTTCTACTGCGAAAATTATTACACTATTTTTATATTATTGTACAATTTTACCATTTTTTTATTGTTGTACAATTTTGTTGACTCTAGTGTGTAAATTATTATGCAATTTTTAGATTATTATGCAATTCTTGTCAATGTACAAAAACTCAAGAAGCATCGAAGTGAATGCGAGCTTCCAATTTTATATTCGTATGCTGTATCATTTCCTATTGCACAAAAATGCTTCAAGTTATTCACAAAAGAGCTGATTATCCCCAATACGAACTCGTGAGTTCGTAAGAACACTTCTCACTTTTAGAGTATGCTCTTTCGAGTACATATGTACACAACCCCGAAAGATGGGTACACACATCATCCAGATTTTACGGACATGATCATGTTAGAGCTGGAATCATTTAACTGCTCTGTCGGTCTGTTAAGCACAGGTAAAGGAGTTAATCATCTGGCACACCTATTAATTCACAGAACTAACAAATGTTGAACAAAATGGGAACAATGTAATTTTTTCACAATAATATATAGCTTTTAGGATTAAAAAATTTGTACCGCGTTCAAACATAATTAAAATAATCGCTTTGCCGAATTTGTGACCGATATTCTGATCATTCGTAATTAAGATGCAGATTTTCGTGAAAACAATATTGTTGTTATTTAATTTCTAGGTAACAATGTAATTTTTTGATAACAATATATAGCTTTCAGGATTAAAAAATCTGTATATCGCGTTCAAACATAATTAAAATAATCGCTTTGCCGAATTTGTGACAGATATTCTGATTATTCGTAATTAAGATGCAGATTTTCGTGAAAACAAAATTGTTGTTATTTAATTTCTAGGAAAAGTAATGAAACAAAGATATCCTTCTTCTGTTCATATGAAATTGGATAAGTTGGAAGTCATGATATAGTAATCTTATATACTCCTTAATTTCTCTTAGAGCTTCATTTTTCTTTCAATCAATTTTGATATAAACGCATAAAATCCGCAATCTATTCATAGTGATCAACGACAAGTGTATGCACTTTGCACTTTGTGCAAAAAAAAAAATATCGTCTGCATCAATTGCAACGTCAATTGACACTTTTAAATTCTTGGAATATTTCTTTCTTAAAAAACTCAGCAAATTGTTTTTGTCGTTAATGAAATTCGTAGCCTAACGACAAGATTCTAATATTTTCAGTAAAAATCTGTACTGCGATGAAGATATTTATACAGGGTGTCCCAGGTTTTAGTGTTCAAACTTTGTTAGTGTATTCTATGGCACAAAGTAAGAAAAAAATGTTATGTAAACATAGGTCACGGTTAAACTACATATTATTTCGAGTCCAAAAAATTAGTAAATATTCTTCAGACGTTCTAAAGTAGAGGTGAACAGCGTTTTTCTTAGAAATATCACATTTACGTAATAAAAAAAAACCGGAAAGTTCACGCTTCGTGACTTGTTCAATACTTCGAACGCGGCTCGAGTCCGTCCCGACCTTCTGTCAAAGCCTCGTGCTGCGGACTCTCTCTCTCTCTCTCTCTCTCTCTCTCTCTCGCACAGTCACCTCTCATTGGCCAGTGTTTTTCGTTAATAACTCGTAAACAAAGCCGCAGATTGCATTTTCGCAAACGAAAAAGTTACTTCAAATGACCTCAGCTATCCCTCATTTTCGGCTGTTAAAATAATTGTGGAACACCCTGTAGAGCTTCATTAAGGAGTTATAACAAAAATTCAGAATAGAGGAATAGTAATCAACTTGCTGTTACTGCGAGCATTGGCTTGAATAAGTCAGCACATGCCGTGTGTTTATGTAAGCTGTGTTTTTTAATACATTTCAAAATGTCTACCGTCGTTGACAAATACATGAGTGACATCGATCGAAGATCGAATTTATGACCGTGCGAATTTCGTTTCTATTCTCTATCATTTCATTGAACGAATTTTTGTTATAACTTTTTAATAAAACTCTATATGACCTATGTTTGCATAACATTTTTTTCTTACTTCGTGCCATAGAATATACTGACAAAGTTTGAACATTAAAACCTGGGACACCCTGTATAGAACGATTGGCGATAAGACAATGTTGAATGCGAGGTATTGGCTGGGCCAATTTCAGTTCCGCGAAAACGTTTTATATGCACCGAAGTCCGTCAGCAATTAATAACAGAATACTAAGCTGTTAATTGGCACAGCACGGTGCCGCGGCACTGGTATCTGCAGTACCTGCTTGCACAAAGGCCGTATTACTTGAATGAAGCCTGTAAATGAAATTAGCAAGTCTCAAAGTCGTTTCAATTGCATTATTTAAACATGCAGAGATTATACAATTTGTCCACACCTGCCGAGCGACGTATTCTAAGCTTATTTCGTTGTTTTATAAATATTCCACTGTGCGAGGAAAAGACATTACGCGGACGTGAACTAACTGTACAAAGGGAAACACGGTCGTCAAACGTTGCATCAAACTTTTATGCACGGGCATGCTTACAACAAATCGTTTATTATTCTTATTTCTATATCATAATTCAAACTTTACTTGGAAACATAAGATGCCCAAACTTTTAGCCAATCTGCAAGAACAAATCAGCTGGTATTTGACTCTTTAGTAGGGATCATTTCTCAAAAAGACTACGTAAAATATAAACCAGTGATTGCTTAGAATTTGAATAGTGTACATTTTAGCGTATATTCTATATTAGTGAATCAATTATTTACACTCGCAGTACTGAATTATTTTATTTATCATTCGTTGCAATCACTTGCGAAGGAAGTATTGTAATAGCGTAAATCAGGCCTGGACATCGCGAACCGCATACGAGCTTTAGAGCCGCATACAGAGTCTATAGTATAGTCTATATTATACAGGGTGCTCCATAATTGTGTTAACAGCCGAAAATGAGGGGTACCTGAGGTGATTTGAAGTAACTTTTTCCTTAGCGAAAATGCAATCCGCGGCTTTGTTTACGAGTTATCGACGAGAAACAGTGACCAATGAGAGACGAGCGCGCGAACTACAACGTGGTCGATCGATCGAGTGCAACGTGCTTTGACTGTAGAGCGTGACAGAAGAGGGGAGGCTCCGTGCCGCGTTCCAATCAATGAACAAGTCACGGAGCGTGAACTTTCCGAATTTTTGTTTGCTACGTGACAGTGATCATTTCAAGAAACACGCTGTTCATCCTTGTTTCAGAATGTCTGAAGAATATTTACTAATTTTTCGGACGCGAAATAATAAGTAGTTCGAACGTGACAGCCGTCTGAATTTTCTGATGTGACACGTAAGAAATCGAATTTCGAATAATTAATAGAAATTTGGACATACGAAATACTAGTTCAAATAATTATGTCCAGCACATCTTAAGTAAGGACTGTTCATAATTTTCTTTACCACACAATAAATAACCATTTGCAATGAATGTAGCTATATCTATGACGTCAAATAAATATTGAAATATAATTTCATACAAACAAGAGTATCTCATTAACAATTTTCAATACTTTTTCGAGTATTTTTACCCAGAGATCTGGTTATAAAGCAATACACGTTATTTTCTTTTAAAACCCGGTAGCTTCAGCGTTAATCACTGATTAGATTGTCAGAATTGAAGGGATTTTTTACTTCCTCGATTACATTGGGATTGTCAATAGAAATTGTATAGAAGTTGTCTTTCTCAAAAATTGTTTTACATTTCGCATGAAAATCCACGTCTGATTACAATCGATCCAGAAAACAGTATTTCCCGATCCTCGATTAAAATGAATGCGATCCCACCGTTATAGATTATTCGTACATCATATCAAAAAAGGCGAAAGAGATTCTGTCGTCGGTGGTGGCGGACATCCTCGAGGAGTCAGTGGTCGACGCAAGAAACTTGGCGGTGGTCGCTGGCAAGAGTTGCGTGACCCCCGAAGAAATGGAAAGGTCGCTGAGGAATCTCTGTCTGCGTTTGAGCACTGTGTCGGCCTACAACAATCACATCGGCACCTGGAACGGCTCCGAAGAGCAGAATGATCGCCGTGACGGCGACGCGTCCTCGTCTAAGGTTAGTCGAACGCGGAATGACAGTCAGTAAATTGCGCGGCCGCTCGGACACACCCCTTGTCGATAAACAAAATAGGCTGTTTCAGAAAGCTACGGCACCTCGACGCGCTGCCACGGGGACCGAAGTCGTAAAATAATCACGATCTATCGTAATCTACGTTTCTTGGGGTAAACCTGCTGTGAACAGTTGTCTGTCTTTGCGGCGAATAAACGTGTCATATACGTGATCATCGACTTACGTCCAGTCCTTTTCGGTATTAACATTATAGTACAAGTACGTTGATTCGAAAGCAATAAAAGTTATTTTAATTTCCATCGCTGCAACTTCAGTTCCCATTGTTGGAGCAAACGTATAAATAAATTGTAAGATAAGGAGTTTATCAATTGGCTAATTTACTTGGTTATCTGCGAACCTTAATAACTTTGCTATTTATGCAAATCTCGATGTTATTTGCACTCGATCTCTGTCAGTGTCTTCAGCGAATAACGTGTAGTTAACTGGGTGGGAAGTCCCACGAGGGGCTGAAAAAGGGACACCGTTGCCCTCGAGAGTGGGGCCTAAGGTCCGCCCCGATCGGTGTTCGCGCTGGGCTGAAAATCGCTGGCCGTACGGTCAAGCTGTTGAACAGCTCTGGTCTTAAAGCATTAAGCACACAGTAACTGACCCCAGACAATTTATATCGATAAAAGAAACTTTGAAGTTTAAGTTCTCAAGAAATCTCAATGAAATTGCTAAAGTTGTCTTTAGTAGCGAAAAACTTCGAAATTGGTTCCTCTACACTCAGCGTATCGATGACCGTGTACGTGGCAATTTTAATGCCACAATCAACGGGACAACAATCGGCCATCTGAAAATTTCGAATTACGCAGCTTCCGCCGATATTAACCCTTTTAGTGCTATGCGAAAAAGAGGTGCCTATGCGAGAATAACCGGCCGAATTTCACGGTTTTACTAGGGTTTGGGAAAATGTTCATAAAAACCAAACAAGAAACAATATTTACATGATTCAAGAAGCAGTAAATTAAGAACGAAATAGAGAACAAAACAATGGCACTAGATTTTCTATATTCATTGAAAATTATATAAATAACAAAGGTATAAAAGATCATAAAGAAAGTAAAAGTCCAGTTCTCTCTTTCAAAACGTATTTGCGCATACAAAAAGTCATCTTTTCATCATAATTTTATATAGGTCATTTATTACAAAGTATATACTTTGCATTTCTGATATATTTTGTAACAAGATAAATAATATTACATAACAAACGTAAAAAATAACTTGAAGTTACATGGTAAGCGCCAGACGGATTATCTCTTCCGAAATATGTAATTGTTATAGGTAATATAACATTGCTGAAACAAAATTATGTTGTCATAAATATATTTGTGATATAATTTTGCATAATACTTCATTATAATAACATAAATATTTATATTTATATTTATATATTGTAAATGTGTATATCGGCTCTGGCACTTCTCGCCAGTGCAGCAAGAGCCGATATACCGGCCTCCGGCACTAAAAGGGTTAAAAAATCAATGCAATCAATCAAACCGCGTGAATTTAATTCATAAATTAATTGGATATGCCGGTGGCTAGGTCAAACTTGATCGAAACATTGAATGTTTATGCCGGTGGCTATCGGCGTCGAATGCTCACTCGGAAGAAAGGAATGTATTTATGTCGAGTCGGGGAGTTCGACCTGAATCTTCGAGAGAAAAGGAACGGCTGAGGAGTATCATACGTTCAGTGTAAACAACAAAAGGTTCATTTTTATTACTCGAAGCGAACATCATTCGAAAGGTGCATGGCGATCCGTGTATATTTTCTTGATTGATCGTGGCATCGTTGAAAAACAAGCATGACGAAGCTGCTCGTTGCCGAGATGTTGGCTCGCCGGTTTTTCTATGAATTATACGAGAACATTCAGATACGGATCGCGCGGTAACGATCGTGAAAGTGTCTGCGCCGGCGCGGGGGTCGAGCGAAAAAAATCGCGGCGAAGGGCCAGGCATCGATAATCAATCGTAAAATAATTTCGGATGGCGGAATGGATCGGCCGATAAATCTTGAAAACTCGTGATTAAGCAGATATGTCGCGGCGCAGAAACGAATGTTCACAATTTTCGGAATTCCGTCTATACAGCCGGCGAAATATATTACGTTTATATATCGAAATGTCGAGTAAAATTTCGATCGTTTTATCTGATTTCGCTGCCTTGTACCCGCGGCCTGTATCACTATAACGGCGGGGCGAACACGGAAACGCAGGCGTCGGTTTTTCGAAAAAACATTTATCCCCGGCGAAAATATTTACAGGTACTCGTATTTTCGCAACGAGACTTCTGCTGTCTGGTCGTCTGAATAAAATATGCCTCTAAATGCACCGTTACGTAAAAATCAAAGGATCGCTGAATTATCGTCGGAAAATTGTCGATTTTTAAACTCTTGCGCCCGCGTGTGTGAAAAATTGGAAAATATTCGGTCTGGTGTCGTTTCGTGGTGAACTCTCTCTACTCTCGCGCCATCGAACTCAATTTTCTAAACTACTTTTAATCTACTTTGTCACACTCTTTGTTCGCTTTGTTCACCCTATAAAACGTGCACAAGTAGAACGTTACATAATTTTCCTGCAAGAAGTTAATATCTGAGAAATTTCCAATTTTAATTCAGCGGTCCTTTAATTTTTGGAAGCGCTGTATAATAACACTGTCCGACAAAATCATACTTTTTTTCTGGGTTTTCGTGCTGAACAAAAAACTTTTCGTAAAAATACAAAAATATTGCGCAGAAACTGCTCAGGTCGACACTTTTTTAAACTTTGACATCAATTCATTGCTATTTAGGACCAAAAACAATTAATAAATTGCATGCCACTATGTTCGGGAAACTCTCCTCTATCTTTTGAGACTGATTAGACCTTTCTAGCGTTTGTACTTTTCATGCAATACCTCATTTTTGTCGAAAATTTTGGGTTTGTACAAAAGTTCGTTTATTTAAAAAACTGAGGGTGATGGAGCAATTCGGTTTTCGGATTCTTGTTCAGGGAGTGAAGCTCTACAAGAATTTCATAGTGGCTATAGAAACCCAAAAATCGTGTCGGACAGTGTCATTAATCCTCCGCGTTGAACGTGCGAGAGTTCCGGAGGCAAACGCCCTAATCTGAATTCAAAAACCAGTGATTGTTTAATCGTTTCTCTAAAATTACAGTGAAGTGTCATCGGTGGAGGGGGGGGGGAGACATAATTTATCCGGCATTAAATCACTAGGAACGAAGTTAGTTCGCGTGCAATAAAAAAAACGCTTATCAATCGAGTAAAATTGTATCAATTACCGGTACCGTAATTAATAAACGTACCGTCGGGACGCTGATTTGGGCGGAGCACACTGAATAGATTCGCGTCAGGCTAAACAATCTACGACGCAATCAAGGTGGTCCGTCTAGAGTCGAAATTAACTGAAAACAAATTAATTTCAGTCTCTCACCGGCCATGCCGGGAACCCTTTCATACCTGAGGATTATGTGAAACCTTGCAGCCACGCCCCCTTCGCTTTCTCGGAAATAATTACACTAACTTGATCAGATGGTAATTAAACAGTGAAACCACCACACATATTTACGAAACGTTAGAGATGGATGACGGTTTTCTCGTTTCCGTTCTACATAAAAAAACACGATGAATGCGGTCAGAGGATTATCGTGCACTAACTACTTTTTTTTTGTGGTCTACAGATGCGTTTGGCATAGTCTGGGATTCGCTATAGTTTTCACTAAATCAAAAATCAAAAATAAACTAAAGTGAAAAGTAAAGTTAAATTTTATAGGGACGCTTGATCCTGTTAAATTGTTTAGGAAAAGATCATCTTCGCTTCATCCACTAACTAACGAAAGGAGATCCTTGAGAAGGGAACAATGGAAGAAAGCGAAAGTAGAAACTTTATTCTTTGAGATGTGCTCAGGTAGAGAGATTGTTATCTGATCATTTCACGAAGTTGCAACAGGTTAATCTTCCTACAATTAATAACTTACACTTTGCTCGTAAACCATTTAGAAATATCTTGGAAAATATGGACTTCTGTAATATGGAATTTTACTTACATATAGATTTACGGAACAGAAAAAGACAGCTGTTTTATAGTAGTTTATAAAAGTAACAATAGGGCAATAACAGTTTATTCTGATTTTGAAGTGTTATTATATATATAATTATAATAAATAAAATATATACTATATTATATATATAATATAATATTGTATAATTATATATAATAATATATATAATATAAATATAATATATAATAAATATAATTATATATATTATATATAATATTAATTATATAATAATATATTGATATATATTATATCATTATATATCAATTAATATGTTCATATTAAATTCAGAAACGAAAAAACTAACTGCATTATGTCTTAGTCAATGTTCATGTTTTCTCAAAATCGGAATTTCTAACCCCGATTTCCTTTACAATTCCTACGTACATGCAACAAATTATTTCGAACGACGCGCCGCAAGACCTTCGACTGAGAAATTCTGGCGAATTTTTGCACGTAACGTGTAACAGAGTGAAACGGTTGTGCCAGAGTAAGGACATCGACAATGTCCAGGGAAAAGTTCGGTGACCTCATGATCACGACGTTTAATATACCTGGGTATTGCAGAGGAGCCGTCAGCTTAGGATTCATAATGTTGCATTTAGCAGCGTGTTCCATGGATCGGTCGTCTCTATCGCGCCTTGTCCCCGGCAGAATTTCACGTTCCCGAAATTCTTCAAATTCGTCACGGCGGCGGGCGCGGCGCCGGGCGAGTAGACTGAAAACAAATTAATTTCAGTTTCACGCGCGCGTCTCGTCGAAAATGAGTTTCGGTCGGGCCCCGCCTTCCCGAAGCTTCGTAAAATAATAATTTTATGGAGGCAGCACGCGGCGCAACGCGAAGCCCTCAATGAGACGGCCCGAGACGAAGAAAGAGCCGCGCGAAAAGGGGGCCGGTTGAAACAGAGAGAGAGAGAGAGAGAGAGAGAGAGAGAGAGAGAGAGAGAGAGAGAGAGAGAGAGAAAGAGAGAGAAAGAGAGAGAGAAAGAAGTGCGTGTCGTGAGACGAAAGAATGGGAACTAAAATAGTCTTCTCGGCACCAAACGGAGAAAAACTCATTCCGTCTGCTCGCCCGCAGCCCGGAGTCGCTCCATTGTGAGACCGGCCAACTATTGTGTAGTTCGTGGTAACCGCGGACCACTGTCGTTCTCGTTTCTACGTTCCTCTTTCCATCTTTCTCACCGTCCCCGTCTCTCTTTCTCCCGCCTCTCTTCACCCTCTTCACCCCGCGTTTCGTTTCCTCCGCGGCTCTCGCTCCTTCAGGCCAC